GCACCGTCGCAGAATCACGAGGGTCCGCAAGTGCCACAACTGCCAGCAGAAGGGGCACCAGCGCCGCGAGTGCCCTCACCCACCAAGGGACAAGAAGGACCCCCCATCGGGTTGTGGACTCGCCGGGCGCAACTACACGGGGGCGGCGAACTTCCCGGCGATCTCGGGAAGTGCAGCGCAGGGTGCAGGACGAGGTTCGCTCCAACGAGATCTACCTCAATGCCGCGGTCACGCGGGGTTTGGTGGATCCTGGCGCCGGCAGCGACATCGCGGGGCTGCCGCCCCTCAACCGGGAGTCGGGCGCCCTTGCCAGGCACGGCCTTCGCTACGCGGCGGCGCCGAAGGACTTCAAGGCGCCCGAGAAGCTCACGGCACCGGAGGCGAGGCCAATGTGATCGGCACAGTGTTGTTTCCGCACTGCCTAGGCAGTTCTCGGGATCGTCAACCACTCTCTTGACCGAATCCGAATCCTGGGCGCGAGTATTTTGGATGTCCTGGGCTGCGACCTGGGCCCCCCTCGGAACATTTTGTCGCCGGGTAGGTTGCAGTCCGACATTGCGGTTCAGAAGTTCGTTTCCGGCCACCGGGTGGCCGACGAGGGGCGCGGGCAGTTGAGGTCGATGGCCAGGGCCCGTGGAGCTCTCGATGTCCTAGGCCGCGCGGGCCAGAGGGGGGTCGACGCTATCGCCCAGCCAGTTCTGGTCATCTTCGTAGCCATCGGCACGAGCTTCAGCTCTCGACAGCGCTCCAGGTTTCGACCGCGGTCCGTGTCAACAGGCACTAAGGGTGATGGGTTTTCTTCGCGCCGTGGCCACTGCGATGTTGTTCGCTCTCGGCATAGCCGGGAAGAAGAAAGGGGGGCCTCCGGTTGCCAAGAAGGCGACCGAGGAATTTCTGGCTCGCCATGCGGCGGAGTCGGACGTGTCACCGGAATCGTTCGAGCAGTCTCCATGGGGGCGTCGCGGGCCCAGGCGAAGACGTCTTCGCCTGGGCCCGCGACGTCAGCAGCAGCGGGGATGAGCCACCTTGGGCCCATTGTAGCAACGCGGGCAGGGCTGCCAGCGCCATTGGACCCAACTCAGCAGGGCACAGCCGGACCTTCCTCAGCAGCGACGGCAGCAGCGCTGATGCCAGCAAGCGCGCCAGCCGAGGCAGTCGCAGCCTCGGCGGCGATAGCGCAGGCAGGAGCAATTCCCCCAGCGCCCGTCGGGATGCCTCCCGACCTCGCGGCAGCAAGAGTTCGGCCGGCCCCTCCACAGGCGACGCCGACGGGAGTAGCGCCGGGAGTCCTGGTGGGACCGGCGGCGAAAGAGGCCTCCAGCGGCGCCGTTCTCTCCACCGCCAGGAGTACAAGGGTCGCAGGGCAGCCAGCCGCCGTCGAAGACATCGCCCCACTGCCCCTGTCCTTCGAGCGCATTGCGCTACTACGGGAATCAGCACGGCTCTGGCTCTCCGTGTACTCTGTGTCAAGCGGGGCTCGCGTGGATCCCACGGGGCCAGCGACTGGGGCAGGACGGCGAGACCCCCCCCATGCCTACTGCAGCAGATGCAGCACGGCAGGCGGCGATCAACTCCCAGAGGATGCTCGAGCACCTACAGGAGGACCCAGCATTCCGCGCTGGGGGAGCGACCCTGACGACTGTCAACCAGTTGCATGGTCTCCTCCGAGCTCTGCAGAGGCAGCTGAGCACAGTGCCCGAGGGAGTTCGAGCTCTTGGCCAGGTCCAATCGCATCTCGACCAGACGAGCGCCTTGGCCATGGCAGCCACGGAGGCACCGACCCAGATGCAGGAAGGCTTCCAGCAGATCTACCAAGGGATCCAGCAGATCCGCCACATTTTCGGATCGTTCGAGAGCTTCGCCGAGAGCCTCGACACGCAGCAGGAATCTCAATGTCATGCCCCACACGGCGTCCAACCTCGAGCGCTATGGGCCAGCTAGGCTAAGGTTACATGATCGTCAACATCGGGACATCGGCGTCGTCGATCGCGCATGTGCTCAACGCCGTCCAGACGAGCAGTCAGGGATGGCAGCAGGGTGATCCATGGACGGGCGGCGGGGACAGCAGCGCGAGCGGCGGATCGGCGCAGCAGGCGGGCACGGCGAGTCAAGGGAAGCCTCGCCCGCCCCAATCCCCTCAGCCGAGCGAGCCGCCAGGCGACAGGACTACGCCGACGACGATTGCGACCTCGGCGACCGCTGCAGGACTCAGCAAACTGGGCACCATTCCGGAAGACACTGCGATCACCTCCGGTCGGGAGCTGCCGAGCGACTTCGAGCGAAAACTTTAGAGCTCCGTCTACGGACGGCGGAGAGGTCGAGGGGCCATCCGCCGGGACTGGCCGCTGCCGTTTCCTGCGGCAGGCGCCAGACCTCCGACGGGCAGCGTGCAGGAACTCATGATCCATCCGACACTACCTCTTCCTCCTTCTTCTCGTTTCCCATTTTCACTTCCAGTGCGACTCCCGCAAGTGCGGCGCAGGGGCCGCACCTCCAGCCGCAGGGCGGAGACGTCGTGGCCGGACGCGGAGCGGCGGGACAGGCCCCGCCCGAGTTTGAGAGAATCGAATGGTGGTTGGGCGATCGTACCAGCGATGACAGAGAGCTGGCGTGTCCCGCGCGAGTCCGAGAGCACCTAAGAGGGCGCGGCTCGAGCAGCCGTCGACTCACGCGGGGGGGCGACGAGAGATCCCCCGGCGACCTAACCCACGAAGGGCGCGGCCTTCATGGAAGTTCCCCCCCCTCCCCGGGCGGCCCCTCGGGCCCAACGTCGCGGGGGTCTTCTCGGCCAGCAAGCCGATTGGGATGTCCAGCACGGCTGGGGCTCCGTCTTAGGATGGAGGAGTTCGAAGCTCCGACGCAAAATGAGGAGGAGTTCGAAGCTCCGACACAAAGTGAGCCCCAGTTTGGCAGGATAGGCCCACGCGTTTTCAGTGGCAGTAGCGGAAGTAGATTTCCTGCACGTTGTTTATACGGACGTGGTCATTCACGACGTCGAGGTGCCCGATGTGCCCCGATGGTCCGGGCCGTTCACGACCGTCCTCAGAACGAGCTGCCGCTTGGGCAGCCAGGAGGACCAAGTCCACGTCGTGGATGCCAAGAGCATCTACGACATTATGCTTAGGGAAGGAAATGCAAGCGCCCGACACAGGCGCTCCGCACTAGATTTAGCGGGTGTCCGTCAGGCTCTCGAGGGGGCCCGAGGCCACGCGCGCTGGGCGCCGCACGGGCGACTGCCCGTGGATGCTCCCGCGAAGGACGACGTGAGCAAGAGCAACGCTGCTTTGGCCAGCCTTCTGGCCAACGGTCGGCTGGTTCTGATTGACGAAAATGCCGAGATGGCCCGACGGAAGGAGCATCCCGGAGCCAACGACTATTCACATGCAGCGTCATGGACGTCGCTCGGCCGAGATTCCCGCCTCGTGTCGTGGACCGAGCTCTCATCGGGCCAGCTGGTCCCGGAAGCCAGCGGCCAGGGCGGTCCTTCTCGCTTCTTCCTTCTTTCTCGCCTTTTCTTTGCCAGGGATGTTGCTTTGCTTGTGCGGGTATTGAGAGGGGAAGCTAAACCTAAGAGAATATTTGACCCATGTGACGGGTGCCTTGTTTTCGTGATATGGGCTTAGCTGTTTGATATTCGTAAGGGCTTCGCCCCCTGCCGCCGGCCCCCTCTCCCGGAGAATGGGCCATGGAAGAGCGAAGTCATGAGGCTTTGGCTTCTCCGTGAAACAGCGTCGGAACTTCATGCGAAGACGATGGGTATTTGGCAAGACGAATGGGGATTGCGAGTGTATTGTTGTACTCGCTGTTGTATTTTCCATTTGCTCCTGTATGCTGTGGCCACATGTTCTCCCCGAGTTTGAAAATGTTTGAAGTCTCTTGAGTCCTGACCGCGCGATCTGCGTGAGGGGTGCCACCGAATTTCACAAATGCGGCAAATCCATGTGTTTTTGCACACTGACCCCGCCGATCTGTATGAGGGGTGCCACCGAATTTAAAACATGTGGCAAATCCTCTGTGTTTTTTGGCCCTGACCCTGTCGATCCGCGTGAGGGGTGCCACCGAATTCTTAGACATGTTGAAAATCCCCCGGGTTTTCGGGCCCTGACCCCGCCGATCCGCGTGAGGGGTGTCATTGAATTTCAGAAATGTGACAAATCCATGTGTTTTTTGCACACTGACCCCGCCGATCTGCGCGAGGGGTGCCACCGAATTTCATACATGTTGCAAATCCCTTATGTTTTTGGACCATGACCCTGCCGATCTGCGCGAGGGGTGCCAGCGAATTGCAGAAATGTGCCAAATCCTGTGTTGTTGCACCCTGACCCCGCCGATCTGCGTGAGGGGTGCCACCGAATTTCAGAAATGTTGAAAATCCCATTTGTTTTCGGACCCTGACCCCGCCGATCTGTGTGAGGGGTGCCGGCTAATTTTTGAAATGTGGCAAATCCCATGTGTTTTTGGACCCTGACCCCGCCGATCTGCGTGAGGGATGTCACCGAATTTCAGTAATGTGGCAAATCCCATGTGTTTTTGGACCCTGACCCCGCCGATCTGCGTGAGGGGTATAAATTTTTACCCACCCCAGCAATTCAGAGCACACGCTCAGGGCATGCTAAACTTGCCCGTTTGCGCCTCCCCCCCTCGCGCGGTTCATCAACAAGGAACAGTAAGCAGCAAGAAGCAAAACTGTAACAGTGGAAATTGGAAGCTGCAACTGGCACAGGAAACTGCGAACCTTCGGCCTACAGCCTGGTGGCCCCACAGGGGGGCCGGCGGATTTCTTTATGAGTGCGCGCGTGTCTTTATAGCGTTCAGGGTCCGCTATGTCTGGACAGAGTTTCACTCATGGCATGAAAGGGTTACTGCTACTTGCCGGTTTGGCTCAAGACAAAAAAATACTCCGCTCATCTCGTTGCTGCCACACGCGGAGGTCGGAACGGATGGAAAGTGGAGGGGGAGGGGGGAGGGAACATTATGTTTTACTGCTTCAATACGCTGGATTTCTGGGGAGGGACCTCAGCGAGCCCAGAGCACCGACCGGCGCCGCAGCCGTTTGGGCTCAACCACGTTTATGCGGGATGCCGTAGCCGTCGGCTATGCCACGCCGCGGCTTGCCACGGCCATGCGCGCGGCGGCAGCGGCGCGAGCCCACCACAGACTCCACCGACTGGTCTCGCACGCGGCCCGCGTTAGGTGGGGATGGCTCAGGGGAGATGCAACCTTAGGTGGCGATGGCTCAGAGGAGATGCAACGTTAGGTGGGGATGGCTCAGAGGAGATGCAACGCTAGGTGGGGATGGCGCATGGGCAGCGCTAGTAACCCACCCCGCCCAGCACATTTGGATTCGCCATCGGGGGGCCTATCGCCGATGTGTCGGCATTGCGTTGCCGATTCCAATTCGATTTCCCCGCCTCGAGCGGGTCCCCCCCCGAACCCGGACCCCCGACGTCATGATTTTTCCATGACGTCAAACCCGAGAGGGTGTCAACCCATTTTCCAGGACTGGTTTTCCAACCCGAGCTGCTTTTTGCCGATCCCGGGGCCCGGCGAGGGCCCCCAGAGGCCGAAATTGCCAAAAACCTCCCAGCGTGGTTGTTCCATGGCCAGGGGGCTCTGGGATTAAGTCGGGCTTGTCCCTCCAAAGGAGGAATGTCCCAAAACAGGCAAAGAATAGTCTGGGGACGGTTTTGTCCGTAGCATTTTAAATAATAATGTTTGCAGGTGTTGTTGTGCTGAAAATAAAGAAAACATTTATAAATAAGTGTGTATATATATATATACGTTTATAAATATACATATACATATACACATATATATATATATATATATACTCTTGGGACATGCCCGACCGAAGTCTGGGAACGTGGCCCCTCAAGGTGCGCGCTGCTGCTCGCAGTCCTCGCTGCCCTCGCGCTCGCCGCCGGCCGCGGCCGGCTGCCCGCCGGCGCCTGGCTGGGCGCGGGCCGGCGGCCTGCTGCCCCCGAGGCCCGCGGGCGGCTCGCGGGCGCCCGCGGGCGCGCGGGCGCTCGGCGGCTCTGCGCACGGCGGGCAGGCGGCCGCGGGGGCGGCCCCCCTGCCCCTCGGTCGTCGAGAGCACCCAGACATTGAGCGTGTCGTGGAGGAGGAGGGGGAGGAGGAGGGGAGGGGGGAGGGGGGGGAGGAGGGGGAGGAGGAGGAGGAGGAGGAGGAGGAGGAGGAGGAGGAGGAGGAGGAGGAGGAGGAGGAGGGCGAGGGCGAGGGGGGAGGGGGAGGAGGAGGAGGGAGAGGAGGAGGAGGAGGAGGAGGAGGAGGAGGAGGAGGAGGAGGAGGAGGAGGAGGAGGAGGAGGAGGAGGACAAGCTAGGTGCGCTCGCGTCATATCTGACATCCTACCCCCTCCCTCCCATCCCTTACCATGGCGCAGATCCCCTCTCTACTCGCTCAGTCGGATGTCGAGCAGGGCAATGATCCCGAAAGGGTACGCGATGCATTGTAGAGCACGGCATGGCATGCCGTAGAAGAGCACCGCAAAGCGTAGCATCAACGTAGCATTTCATTGCATGCCGTGGCATGGCACGGGAAATGACGCCAGCGCTGCAGCGGGAGCACGAGTCGAAACGAGCGGAAGCGCGGAAAGGAGGAGGTTGCGGCTTCAGGGGCCGCCGCCCCCATCTGGGATGAACGCGGGGGCTGCTCAGGGGACGCGGTCGGACCGAGGCAGTTGTGAGCGGGGGCCCGGCGGGCCCCGTCGTCGCCCTGCCCCGCCAGGGCGGAGCGTGGGCCCGACTGGGCTTAAGTCGGGCCTGTCCCCCTACAGGGGGATCTTCGACGAATAATAAAAAGTACTCCCAAAACACACCCCAAAAAGGCCTAAAGATATTCAAAAAATTGTCCCCAGGCTATGTTTGGATTATGTTTTGATTATTGTTGGGGTATTTCTTATTCTTCGTCGAAGGTCCCCCTGTAGGGGGACAGGCCCAACTTAAGAGTACCCAGACATGATCGCGTCGTAAAGAAGTGAGGACGGAAGGTTTTTGGCTATCTTCGGCCCTGGGGGGCCCCCGCCGGGCCTCGGGACCGTCAAAAAGCGACTCAGGACGAAAAACCTGTCCCGGCTAACGGGTCGTGACGACTGCCAGGGGCGCCGGCCTGAAAAAATCAGGACGTCGCATGTCTGGGCAGGTATTTCTGGAGTCCCAGATTCCAATCTACTTTAAGCGCCATCCTACTTCGATGATCGAGTGGTTTCACCTTCTCCGTCCTCTTCAGGGGGCGGGCGGACACCCAGTCTGCTTTCAACGCCTTCCTACTCCACGTTTCTACCTACTTCTTCCGACCGATGGGTACGGTAGGTTCGTGTCGTTTCGACTGGCGGCGACCCCGCCAGGGACGTTCAACGTCGAACGCCGCGGGCGACCCAGAATCGCTCGATGTGGAACGATTTGGACGTTTCTGAAACGGCCGATCGTTCAAGGTTGAACAATCCCCGCGGTGTCAGAAACCAACGCCGAAGCCGACACGACGCGAACCTGCCGTACCCACTTCTTCCGACCGATGGGTACGGGGGGGGACCCCAGGAAACGACAGGGCTGCTCTGTTACCGGTTCAGGTTTGCCGTTTTTGTGCCGGCTCGGGCAAGCGGTGGAAGCACGGCCGTGTTGGGCCCAGGGGGGAATGCATCGACCCCCAATCGCCCATTCTTAGATGTTTGCGAACCCCTGCAGGAAGACCGAAGAATCCTCGAGGATTCTCGAGTCCTGAGATCTCGTTGCTCCTATTGTTCCCCCCCCCGTCCCGCAGGAATTCATTCATCGACTGAGGTACTGAGGTGCCGGCCGCGTATCAGGGGCCGATCGCCGATCTATCGGCGATGTATCACCCATTCGAGGTCGATGTTCCCCCCCATGGATTTGGTTTCCTAACGTTGCCCCTCACCCTGTGTCCCACGATGCATTTGTGCAACCGGCGGTTTTCTTTGACCTCAGCCCTCGAAAAGCCATACCGCCAACACGTTGACAACAACAGCATGTTTTTTTGATCACGGTTTGTCGCCCTGGGGGGCCCTCGTTGGGCCCGGGGATTGTCGAAAAACGATTCAGAATGAAAAGTTGGTCTTGGGAAAGGGGGCGAGACTTCGGGATCGCTGTATCTTGCTACATCTAGACTAGAACCATCGCGCGCGCTTCGCGCGCGCTCAAGTTCTAGCTAGCTTCTTGGGGCCTCCTCGGAGCATCCTGGACTGCTTCTTGAAGTCGTCATGGGACCTTCTTGGCATATCTTCGGGGGCCTCTTAGACAGAGTTTTGAAGCCTTTTGGGTGCCGTCTTGGGGCCTCTTGGAGCCTCTTTGGGGCTTCTTGGGGGCCTCTTGGGGCCTCTTGGGGACCTCTTGGGGCCTCTTGGGGGCCTCTTGGGGCCTCTTGGAAGCTTCCTGGGGGCATCTTGGGGCCTCTTGTGGGCATCTTGGGGCGGAGAGCTCGAGTTTTCAGTTCGCGTTCCCTCTCTTGGGCCCCTCATGGGGCCTTCTTGGGACCCTCTTGCGCCGTCTTGGGATCTCTGGGGCCGTCTCGGGGCTCTTTCGGGCCGTCTTTGGGCCCTCTTGGGGGCCTCTTGGGCCGTCTTGGAGCGGTTTGGGGAGCCTCTTGGGCGGTGCTTCAGCGCCGGAAACACGAAACAGCGAGAATGCAACAGAAACATTGAACAAAACATTGAAAATCAACAATTTTGCCCCTCTCGGGGCGCTCTTCGGCGGCATCTTAAAGGCCTCTTGAGGCGTCTTGGGGGCCTCCGGGGCAGTTTAAACGCATCGTGCTTCGACGGCGACCCCTGGACGTCGTCTTGGGGGTGTCTCGAGACCGCCTGGGGCCGCCGGGATTGCTGTCTGAGGGCTCCCCGGGTCGATTTTAAGCCTCCCAGAGGCGGGCCCCGGCCCCGGGCCACACATTTGTGGCCGGAGTCCCGGCCCCCGGCCCCCAGACCCGGTCCCCCGTGAGATGTGTACATCGGATCTCTGGGAACCCATGGGCCATAGCACAAGTCTGGCAGTTTTCGGGCCTCGCGGACGCTGTCGGGCCTCAATTCGGTCCTCGGGGCCGCTTCCGGACCTCAAGGGCCATCGGGGATCGATCGGACGCGAGGACCTGCCCTGGGGAAGCGGTCAGGACCTCCCAATGGAGCCGCGGGCTCGAAGACAGAACGGCGGACCCAGACCACAGATGCCCAGCCCCCTTCCCTGGTGAAGTTCTTCGAATAGGGGATCGATCACAAAATCGGTTTACCCCAAAATTGAGAATTGGGACGTGTACGTTACCAATGGCGGGCTGTTTTTCAATCCCAGGACTTTTTGAGGGTCGGGGAGGACGTCGGGGTGGTGTGGTGTATACTTTTCTTTTATCCGTTTCTGGGGGAAGCAACGAAGCATGTAGACACCAGGGTCTCGTATACACCGGGATCCGTTTTCCTGCGCGAATCTCAGTTCAGGGCCAGACAAAGCGTCGGTGTAGAGAGTTCGATTCCTTACAACATTGTTTTCCAGTCGAATCTACGGAACAAAGATCCGTAGAGCTGCTCACTGCTCTACGCATGTTTCCCATGGGCTCGATGGGACCATCAGCTTTTGGGGCGAAGCGACGCTGCAGTCGATCCTCTACTCGGGTGTGTTGCCTCCGAGCCAGTTCTTCGCCAGCGTTGAGGGCCCCGGCGCCCGACCGAGAGCCCCGAGGAGCCGACATTGGCAGAACGGGCCCAGACTGCTCGAAGCAAGCAGACCTTACCAGCCTGGAACATATCCCTATCCCTATGCTGGGCATCTCCTCACCACGATGCCAATCTTCGGGATTCCCTTCTTTCTTGAGGGCGAATCCCTAAGATTGTCATCGCCTTTTGGCGTGTCAATCTTAGGGATAGGGATACGTTCGAGGCTGGTAAAATTGGCAGAACGGGCCCAGACTGCTCGAAGCAGGCTTGTCGTCGATCCGAAACGCTCTTGGCGCGCTCTGGAGCGCTCTGGAACGGCCGCGGCGCCTGACGCGTCCTCCGGAGCCGCAGGATCTCAGAGATCCCCCGGCGTGTCTTGGTGGTCCGATGTTGCCCCCGTCTTGGTCTCGTCTTGTTTGGGCCTGTGGGTTGGAACGAAAGCATGTCGGCAGATGACAGGGGTCGGCGGCGAGCGAGGGGCGGAAGTGAGAAGGAGAAGGGATTCTCAGATGGTGGCGGGGCTTCTCCGAAGCCCTCCGGCCTTCCGAGAAGTTCTTGGCTTCTGCGCCTCCGAGGAAGGCTTGGCACACTTCTCAGAAGGCTGGGGCCCCTTCTCGCTCCTCCCTGGGGCGCGCCGCCGAAGGGGGGGCCGGCTCCGCGAACCCGTACGACGTCCTGGGCCTGCCGAGGACGGCGGCCACGTCGTCCGAGGTGCGCGCGGCCTTCCGGGAGATGGCGAAGCTGTACCACCCAGACGTCCCGGGCACCGGCGACAGCGACCGGCTCCTTTCCAGAGGAGGAAAACACACAGACACAATGAATCTCCGATTCCCGCGAAAGTGTAGGAAGATATGGGAGGTGGGGGGGAAGACAGAAACCCAGAAAATCACCGGACAGCTCGACCCTTGGCCCCCCGCCAGCCCCACGTCAAGGGGCGAGCATATATACGGGCGCAGCACCGCGCTGGATGCATAGCCGTCGGCTGGCCAACCAAGCGAATGACGCATCGCGTGGCGGCTGGATGCCCGCGCCGAGCACAGATATTCTCTGTTCCTCCCTCCTCCTTCTCCTCCTCCTCCGCGGGCTTAAAACTGCCATCGAAATATCCTCACCCGCTGGCTTGAAACTGCCACCGAAATATCCTCACCCGCTGGCTGAAAACTGCCACCGAAATATCCTCGCCCGCTGGCTTAAAACTGCCACCGAAACATCCTCACCCGCTGGCTTAAAACTGCCACCGACATGTCCTCACCCGCGGAAATAAAACTGCCACCGAATTATCCTCACCCGCTGGCTTAAAACTGCCACCGAAATATCCTCACCCGCTGGCTGAAAACTGCCACCGAAATATCCTCACCCGCTGGCTTAAAACTGCCACCGAAATTTCCTCACCTGCTGGCTTAAAACTGCCACCGAAATATCTTCACCCGCAGAAATGAAACTGCCACCGAAATATCCTCACCCGCTTTCTTAAGCCGCCACCGAAATATCCTCACCCGCTGGCTTAAACTGCCACCGAAATATCCTCACCCATTGGCTTGAAACTGCCACCGAAATATCCTCACCCGCTGAAATAAAACTGCCACCGAAATATCCTCACCTGCTGGCTTGACACTGTCACCGCTCGATAACACTCGATAACACATCGATAACACCTCATGCTATCGAGGTGTCATCGAGTAGTATCGAGGTGCTCTCGAGCGCTATCGAGCTCGATCACACTCGATAGCACCTCGATAACACCTCGATAACATCTCAAACACATCGAGGTGTTATCGGGTGTTATCGAGGTGTTATAGAGCGGGTGATGGCCACCCGCTGGCTTGACACTGCCACCGCAATCTCCTCACCCGCTGGCTTAAATCTGCCTTCGAAATATCCTCACCCGCTGGCTGAAAACTGCCCCTGAAATATCCTCACCCGCAGGCTTAAAACTGCCACCGAAACATCCTCACCCGCTGGCTTAAAACTGCCACCGGAATATCCTCACCCGCGGAAATAAAATTGCCACCGAAATATCCTCACCCGTTGGTTTAAAACTGTCACCGAAATATCCTCACCCGCGGGCTTAAAACTGCCACCAGAATATCCTCACCCGCGGAAATGAAACTACCACCGAACTATCCTCACCCGCTGGCTTAAAACTGCCACCGAAATATCCTCACCCGCGGAAATAAAACTGCCACCGAAATATCGTCACCCGCTGGCTTGAAACTGCCACCGAAATATCCTCACCCGCTGGCTTAAAACTGCCACCGAAATATCCTCACCCGCTGGCTTAAAACTGCCACCGAAATATCCTCACCCGCGGGTATATAACTGCGACCCAAATATGCTCATCTGCCGGCTTAAAACTGCCGCCAAAATACCCTCACCCGCGGGCTTAAATTTGCCACCGAAATATCCTCACCCGCTGGCTGAAAACTGCCACCGAAATATCCTCACTGGCTGGCTTAAACTGCTATCAGAATATCCTCACCCGCGGGAATCAACTGCCACCGAAATATCCTCACCCGCTGAAACACCGAAATTTTCTCAACTGCTGGCTCAAAACTGCCACCGAAATATCCTCACCCGCGGGCTTAAAACTGCCACCGAAATATCCTCACCCGTTGGCTTAAAACTGCCACCGAAATATCCTCACCCGCTGGCTTAAAACTGCCACAGAAATACCCTCACCCGCTGGCTTAAAACTGCCACCGAAATATCCTCACCCGCGGAAATAAAACTGCCATCTAACGGCCTGGTGGTTCAGTTCGGTCTGTCTACCTCGCGACAATCAAATTACAAATTGAAAGTACAGGGAATCCTGTTATTTGTATGTATTTATTTGTGTGTCCCAGGGCCCCTTCATCCTTCGAGGAACAGACAGGTGCGGTCGATTCATGCGGCATGCGGCATTGGCGCCCCGGCGACGGCGGCGAAGGCGTTCCAGGTTGAATGCCGCATGGTCGAACGACGCGACGCGGGAGCGCCGAGGGGCACGGTAACGCCAACGGACCCGACGGAATTCATCTTTGGACGATCGGGGCCGCAGTCGGTTCAATCTTGAACGATCGACGCAATGTCGAAGACCTGATTGCGCGCCGACGCCTAACGAACCCACCGACCCCCACCTGGTTGGAATAATCGCTGGAACAATCACGACGGCCTTTTTGTTCGCTGTTCGGCCTCCAGGGGCCCCTACTGGGCCCCTTCCCTGGGACTGGATTTTCATCGTGAGTGGACTCATGATGAAAACCCGGTCCCAGAGAAGCGGTCCATATCTCCGGGCGTCCATTGTGTAGGAAAACCACGACGTCGGAATTGAGAATCTGAGATCTACAGGAGTTGCGATTTGTATGGCCCCATGGCCCCATGGCCATCTCAGATCGATCCGGCTCGAAAAATGCCACCAGAAGATGTTGTTTAGGGCTCTGGTCGTGATTTTCAAGGATACTCAAGATTTTGCTCGCGACGTCAAATCACAAGAGAGGTGCCGATACTGCTACTCCAGTGACCACCATTCTGAAACACGCCCCTCGCCTTGTGATTCACATCACCTTCCTTCAGTGCCGAGCTTGAGGACTCCCTCGGTCTCCGCGGGCGCATCCCTTAGAATAGCACTGGCTTTCGGCGTGTCAATCTTGTGGGCAGGGTAAGTACGTGTGAAACTAGCTTTGTCGTCAGGCTCTCACGGGGAGCTCTTATTGTCTGCTCCTGTCCGTCTGGGGGTGCCAGGACTTGTCCGCCCAGGCCGGCGCCAGCAGCAAGCAGCAACCGAATCGCGTTCGTGTCCATCGGAGCGTCGCGGTTGTTCTCCCTTCCCCTTCCTCCCCCCAGCAACAACAAGGAATTTCCTTCCCCCCCCAACAAATCAAAAAAACACCCTCCTGGGGCGCGGTCTGGCCAAAATCTCGGAACGAGTCCAGGCTCGGCGGTCAGTAGGCGGGCAGCGGCAGCGGTTTTTTGGGGGCTTCCTCTCAGGTTCCTGGCCGCCCGGGAGGCTGCAGACGCCCTGGCCACCCCGGAGGGGCGGGCCAAGTGGGCCAGACAGCAGCCTCGGGCGCATCGGGCGTTGCCAGAGAGGGTGTCCTTGGGCCAGCGTGCCCCCAGGAGACTTCGAGGGGAGGCCCGGGTGGTCTCCGCAGCACCACTCGCGAGGCCGAGGGGCCCCAGGGGGCTCCAGAGCAGAGCGGAGCGAGGGCGCTTGTGATGCAGACTTTGGCAGGCAAATTTTCAGGAGGGGGGAAAACACAGACACAATTGATTGTCGATTCCCCAGAAAATGCGGGAAAATATTGGAACTGGGGGGGAAAACAAAAACCCAGAAAATATTGGAGAATATGGGGAATCCTGTTATTTGTGTGTGTCTTCATTTGTGTGCCCTGGGGCCCCTTCAAATTTGCACGGCGTGTCGCTCCCCCCCCCCCACAGCAGCCCTGGGCCAGAGGGGCGTCCAAGGGAGCCTCGACCTGCGCGAGGCCTCCAGAGTGCCTTTTGGGGCCTCGCCGCGCCGCCCAATCCCCCCCACCCCGCCCGCCTCCTCCTGAGTCCTGCCTGCATCGGCGCGGGGGAGGTGCCAAGGGGGTACTGGTCGGGGGCGGAAAAGAGGGGGGTGATGGCTAGGGGGGGGGGGGGTCCTGGCGGGGGCCATGATATCTCCTCAGATTTCATGGCGCTATTCCATTCCGTCCCTGGCCCCCCCGCTGGGCCGCGCACATGCCGCCGGTCATGACTTGCACCCCCCCCTCTTGGACACCCCCCTCTTGGTCGCTCCCGAACTGGGGTTGCCAGTGGATGCCAGTGTGGATTCTATCTGACACAGCCTAGCCTGTGAGCGGGCTGCAAGTGTCCCAGGCGGTTTGGGGGGGCACCTGTCTCCGCAGTCTGGGCGGAGCCCGCTTGGCGGAGTGGCCTGATCATTTGAAGCCGCTGAGGTCATCTGGAAGCCATGCATTGGCTATGTTGGGCCAGAGGTAAGCCCCCTTCATTTGCATGCAACTCGTGGAAGTTCAACTTCAGCACCGCCGCTGGTATATCAGGGCGAATCCGACGAGTTCCACAGTACCGCTTAATCAGGCTTGTTCCTGTTCAATCCCGGGCCTGATCGGGCCCAATGGCTTTTCAATCTGGCGTAATAGCTTTTAATCGTTCTCACGAAGACATCCCGGAGTGGGCTCCCAAACCTTTGCATCCACGTGTAGCCCCATCTTGCACCCTCTGGCGGCAATCGAGGAGGCAGCGCCGATGTAGTGCCGATGAACGTCAATGTAGCGCCGATCAGCGGTGAATCGTTTCGATCAGCGTCGGTTAGCGTCGATTCGCAAGAGCCAGCAGGACAACGTGGGGGGGCTCCCAGGAGCGACGCAGAAAAACGTGGTCGTATTCACCAGCAGTGGCGCGCAGCAGTCCCGCGTGAGGGGTCCTGCGTGAGCGCCCTCGTGTGCAACGGGACGTGCCGCGACGCTGGCGGCCCGCGTAAGCCGCCGCGTAGACTCGGTGTGCCATCTCGCGTAAGGTCCGTTCCTTCCCCTCGGTCCCATGATCAGCCACGCGCAGAGGAGGTAGGGCCTGGCATCACTCGGACGTGTGCATTTTTCCTTCGGCGAGGAGCATCGTTGATCATTTGGCGAAGAAGCCACGCACGAAACCAAAAAAACACAGGGAATGGACGTCCGAGCGATGGCGAGAGGGGGATCGGGGAAGCCTTCTTAGAAGCACACTGCCTCTTGGAGGGCCCGGGCCTCATCCATAGATGTAGAGCCCGCGCCCGCTAGGAAGCAGCCTCCTTCCATGAAGCCTCCCTCTCACCCTAACACGCTTTGCACGCGCGGCCAAGTTTCTTCTCGTCGTTCCCATGGGCTGCCACAGGAGTCCCGGGGGCCCACGCTGTTTTTGAAGAAGCACGACGTCAGATGTCTGTGGAGGTGGGGGCCTTCTTGGAGAGGCCAGGGGGACTCCTGAGAAGGCCCGTGGGAAGTCCCGTCCAGAGTCCAGAGCCAGGAGGCCTCCTTATGGGCGCACCACCCTCGCTTTCTCGGCAAGCCCACCGCCCTCTCTCTAGGCCTCCTAGATGGGGTCCGAGTAGATGGGGTCGGAGGATCATGCCGCATCGCCGATGCATCGACGATACGACTCGATGTGGAGCCTGTGTTTCCCCACGGCGACGTCGCCGATGCATCGACGATACGGCTCGATGCGGAGCCTGTGTTTCCCTACGGCGATGCATCGCCGACGTCGTCGATGCATCGCCGATGCATCGCTGGTGCATTGCCGATGCATCGCCGGAGTATCGGCGATGCGGGTCGATCCTCCGACCCCATCTACTCCGACCCCATCTAGGAGGCATGTACTCTCGGAACGCCGCCCCCTGAGATCCGACGTTGCGAAAACATTGCAACATCGTAGTTTCCCCATCTTTCTCCGTCATGTTTCGAGCCGGGTCGATCTGTGAAGGTATTGGGGCTCGAAGCGGTGCGAAAACGCCGGCTGTGACAAACGTGCAACGCCAGGATCGGATCTCATGGCCCCCCTCGCGCTGCACCGAAATCAGGAAGGACCAACTTGGGCTCAGAAGGGGCTGCAGTTTGCGGGCCGTTCTCTAGATCTAGGTTGATGGGCTTGTTCTCCACCACCACCACCATAAATTGGAGGGGGGAAGGAGGTGGAGGATGAGGAGGAAGAAGAAGAGAGGGAGGAGGACACCCTCCCCCCTCCAACTTATGGTGGTGGTGGTGGAAAACAGGCCCATCATAGGTGGGGGAACCTACTCGAAACCGAGGCTCGCCGTGGACAGATGAGCTCCTTCGTTCCTAATCTGGTCTTCCTTCTGGTACCACGAGGACTGTACACCCTCCCCGAGATCCGACGTTGCGAAACATTGAGACATCGCAGACAATGAAAACCAGAGCCCCGAACTCCATCATGTCTGCGTTATGTGTCGAGCCGTATCGATCCGTGAGGGCCCTGGGGCCCGAAACTGGGCAAGAACGCCCGTTGCGCAAAAAGAGTGCAACGCCAGGATCTCAGGGCCCCCCTCTGCGCTACGCCTTTGGAGCGCCTGGGGGGGGGCCCTTGTCAAGACACTGAAGCGAGGAGGACCACCTTGGGCTCAGGGCCCTTGTCAAGCTTGGAAGCACCTTGCAGGCACCAGGGGGGCCCTTGTGATTGTTTGTTATTCATTGTTTTGCCGATCGGCGCGGGCCCCAAAACCCCCCCCTCCCCCCCTCCCTGGAGTAGATCTTGGCTGCTTTGGGCGCCTGTTTCGAGCAGGCGGAGTCCCTCTGCCACAGGACGCACTGCTGCAAACAGTGGCACTGAGCAGAGGTCTGGAGCCAGGCCCCCCCTCCCCCCCTCCCTTCCGCCCAATGTCGAAGCGTCGAATAAAAAACTCTCACCTTGTCGAGACGCTGATCTGAGGCCCCCCCCCCTCGCGCTGCGCCCATGGGAGGCCCCGGGGGCACCTCCCTGGCAGCCCCCCGGCAGCAGCGCCGCCGCGAGCGGGCCGAGGCACAGGCGGGCCCTGGCTTCTGGGCGCCGCGCGCCGCCGCGGAGGGCCGGCGCGGCGGGCGCCGTCCTGGCGGCGGGCCCTCGCGGCCGCACAGCTGGGTCGACGCCTGGGAGGAGGAGGACCTCTGCGAGGGTCGACGACGACGGCAACGACGATGTCGATCCATTTCTCGAAGAAAAAGCGGCATCGACATAAACCTGTGACTTGGGCGCCTGAGTTATCCGGGGTGACTCGGGTCCGGGGTAACTCGGGTTTGGATTCCCGAACAAGGAACCCGAGTTAGCCCTGACCCGAGTTATCCCTGATGATTTGGGGCTCTGGACGCCCGAGTTATCAGGGGTTACTCGGGCCCGGGGCAACTCGGGCTCGGATTCCCGAAAAAGGAAACCCGAGTTAGCCCTGACCCGAGTTACCCCTGATGATTCGGTGCTCTGAGTGACGCTCCGCGCGGATCTCTTTGATCTGCGCTATGACCCCCCTGGCGGCGCTTCTGGCGCCGCCCCTGGCGCGCTCCGCGCGCCGGGAAGGGAGGTCCAGCGCGGATCCAAGAATTCCGCGCGGAGCGCCAAAAGTTTATGTTTATACCGAAGTTCCTCCTTCTATGCAATTGCTCGGACATCGACTACAGGAAGGAGTGACCTTTCGCCGGGGTGACCTTTTGTGCGGACCCAAATGGAGCCCCCCGACCGCCGAAGAGATGGGATAATGGCGGCCTGCGCGCCTGGTGGTGTGCCCGCAGGGCCCGCCCCTCGTTGGCCGCGCACCAAGGGTCACTCTTGCCTAGGGCCACTCTTGCGTGTAGCCGATGATGTTGTCATTCCAGTCGCCTTGGGACGATTTTCCTCCACCACTACCATAGGTAGGAGAGGGCGAGGGAGGAGGAGGAGGAGGAGGAGGAGGAGGAGGAGGAGGAGGAGGGCGACGAGGAGGAGGATGACCCACGATGGTCTTTTGTCTCCTTGGCGTCGCTCGGATGTGTGTGAAGGTCTTCCCGGCGAAGGCCATCGAGGAGCACCCTGTAGCAAGTAAACGCACAGCTGGGCCGACGCCTGCTCCTGACCCACGATGCCATCTCGCCCCTGCTCCTTTTTCGGGTCGGGCGAAAGGGGGGGATTGGGAAAGGGGGGGTTACGAAATTTGCTGCATGCAGCTGGTTTCGGCCTCACCGAGGGGCCCATTCCTCGATACATGGCCGCTCCCGGCGCCGGGAGGCGCCGGGAAAATCGGCTGCGTGAGCCGATTCTCAAACCCCCCCTTTGTTATCCCCCCCTTTCGCCCGACCCGACTTTTGCTTGTCGGGGGTGGACAGAACCCCTACCCTGGCACGTCGATCAGTGAATTGTCCGTTTCGGTTTTCGAGAGGGCGCCGCGGCCGTCATTTTCTAGGCTTGCGCCCGCCAGGGTTTGGGCCCGAGGTCGTTTTCACTGAACCACGTTTTACTAAAGGGGGCTCTGTCCATCGCCGAGCTTGGCATCATTGCGTCCTGGTGCCGATCGTTTGGACCCTGGCAATTTCTGGGGGTGCATCCCTCAGATTGTAATCGGCCAGGGAGAGTCCAGCCTGAAGGAGAGGGGTGACCTAGAGGATGGTTCGTCTGGGGGCGGCAGGGCCTTTAGTCATTATCGTCGTCGTCATCGCCACGATGGTCGACGAGGACCCGCAATGCCGTCGACGACGACGACGACGACGACGGCGACGTCGACGACGACGACGAGACCTCCCGAGGAGGGAGGTCAGGAGGAGGGGAGGACCCACGAGTGTGTAGGGCGCGAGTAGCGGGCTGTCCAGCTTTTTGTTTGGATAGGCTCGATTGGACAACGGTTTCGGTTCAGTTCCGCAGGATCAGTTTTTTTCGGCGGCGAGCGAGGGGGGGAAGTGAGAAGTTTTCTCAGCCTTCTCCGAAGAAGCGGAGCATTTCTCAGAAGGCGCGAGGGCTTCTGAGAAGTCCCGCCGCCTTCTGAGAAGGCCTTCTAGGGGGCCACATGCGAACCTGACCCCTACCCCGCACGGTTTCCGAGGGGGAGGGTGGGGCTCACTTCGCTCGGGAGCTCCCGAGCGAAGAGAACCCCACCCTCGCCATCAGAAATCGTAAGGGGTAGGGTAGGGTTCGCATGTGGCCCCCTACCTTCTCCTTTTCATTTCCCCCTCCTCGCTCGCCGCTGATTCTTTTGCTCCAGAGGGATGCCCTGCAGGGCGCGGAATGCCCTGCGGTGTGCCGCCCAGACGTCGGGCAGGGCACCCGTCGGCGCCTTGGAGGAGGAGGACCCACGATGGTTGTTCGTCTCCCCCCACCACAGGGCGGGTTTTTCGTTTCCCCCCACCATACAGTCGGGGCCCTGAAGAAGAAACGCTTTTCGTTGGGGAGGGGCTCGGTGTTCCTTGCTTGTTTTACAGTTTGCCTCGGGTTTCCCTTCGGTTCTTGTGTGGGAAATCTGCAGGGAAAGGGGACGACGGAGGCGACGACCGACGGAGACGACGACTCGAACAGCCAAGCCCCTCGCACACGCCGACAGGGTCGGCGGATTTTGGATTCCCATATCCCAATCTACTTCAAGCGCCTTCCTACTTCAAGAATCGACACGCTGTTGCTGTGTTTTGTTATTCTCTGGGAGGGCCTGTACCCAATCTACTCCAAGCGCCTTCCTACTTCATGTTTCTACCGACTTCTTCCGAAGGGCGTGTACCTGTGGGCTGTTTCTGGCGCCAGTTTCGAGCCGGTGGAGTCTCCCCCCTGGGGCGCACGGTTGCAAGCCGTCGTAGCAAGCAGAGGCCCGGAGCCAGACCCCCCACCCTCCTTCGGGAGCCTTGCGACGGGGGTCAATGCAAACGGGGGTCAGCCAGAGCGCCAGATCCTGCAGGATCCTGCGAAGACCCCCTCTGGTTGACCCGGGTTAGCGAGCCTATCGTGGCCGCGAGGCGGCCGCGCCTATTGGCTGACCCAGGTTTGCGAAGCCCTGCGTTGGAGTTGCTTTTTCCTGCATTGCAGTTTTTTGTTTCCTGCTGACCCGGGTTTGGATTGACCCGGGTTAGCAGACCCCCGACTCCCCTCCCCTTCCGCCCAATATCGAAACGCCGAATATGAAGACGTTCCCCAAAAAGCCTTGCCATGTCTTGGGAGCCAGCTTTTTACTTCCGCCACCCGCCGCCGAACTTCCGCCGGCGGGGGCGGCATCCCTCGACTCCCGCCGCCTTCCGTTGGTTCCTTTTCGTTCCTCGAAGGCGAGGTCCTATCTAGAACTCCTCACTCATCGCGCCACATTGCGCAACGCCCAGTTACGCAGTCATGGTTGGCACCGCACGGACGCGTGCGCATTTTTCTCGGCGAGAGGACCATCGAGCAGCGTCGTGGATCAAAGTAAGCGCATGCCAGCGACAAATGCACGGGGAATGGACGTCCGAGCGATGGCAAGTGGCCGCTGGCCTTGCATCCTTCGTCGAAGAAAGGAGGAGGGACCCTGGGAGGCCCATGCGCAGAGGGGGGTAGGGGGGCGGGGGACGGCTTCTTGGAGGCACCCCTGCTTCTCAGAAGGCGCGGGCTCTGTCTATAGATGACAGGCTGGCGACCCACCTTGGTCTTGTCTTTCTACCCCCTTCCCTTGCACGTTGCCCCGATCCATACGTCGGACTCACGATGGTCGAAGAAGGAAAGGACCCTAAGAGTTCGAGGGACCTCAGGAGGAGGGGACGAAAGTCAAACTCGGGACAAGGAGCTCGGTCGAAGCCTGGGATGGGGACCCACGATGGTCATTTGTCTCTCTGGTCGCTTCCCTTCCACGTTTCGTCGATCCGTTCTGGCGCGAAGTCGGTAACCGCATGCCGATGAGAATAAAGTACCCCCCCCCCTTAAGTCGTTAGAGTTTTTTATCGTCGACCAATAAGAGTTTGGTCGGGGGCGCGGGGGCGCGGAGGCCGAACTTCATTATCACGGGAAAAGTTCGCCATCGAAGTTACTTCCTTCTTATGTTGAGATAACAACATCAAGCGAAGCGAACACGTTGTTTCAGGATGTCTCAAGCGAAACCAATGTCATTATGTCTCTTTGTAGTTCTTTATGTCTCTCTTTCTTTCTTTCTCTGTCTCTCTTTCTCTCTCTCTCTGTCTCTCTATCTCTTTCTCCTTCCTGGCCTCTCTGTCGCTCTCTCTCTGTCTCTCTATCTCTTTCTCCTCCTCCTCCCCCTGGCGCCCTGAACTTGTTTATCGCTGGGGTTGATTATCCAGGGAAAAAGAGGCACGTGAACAAATGTTTTTTTGTTTTTTTCCCGGAAAGGGCGTGGGCCCAGGGTTCTCTTTTAGTTTGTAAACTTAATCCCCCGGTGCCTGCTTGAAGGAGGCCGGCGAATTGCCGGCGAATTTTTTCCCTGATAAATAACGAGGTCGAAGGAGGCCGGCGAATTGCCGGCGAATTAAAATTTGAGGATGTCTCGAGCGAAACGCTTGTTTTTCAGAAAATGGTGAGGATGTCTCGAGCGAAACGCTTGTTTTGTGTTATAGATTGTCCTCTCCTGGGGACCTGAATTCTGAGGACCACCTCCCAGCACGACCACCCCCCCAGCACGACCACCCCCCAGCACGACCACCCCCCAGCACGACCACACCCCAGCACGACCACTCCCCAGCACGACCACACCCCAGCACGACCCCACCCCAGCACGACCCCACCCTAGCACGACCACACCCCAGCACGATCACACCCCAGAACGACCACACCCCAGCACGACCCCACCCCAGCACGACCCCACCCCAGCACGACCACACCCCAGCACGACCACACCCCAGCAGGACCCCACCCCAGCACGACCCCACCCCAGCACGGCCCCACCCAGCAAGACCACACCCCAGCACGACCACACCCCAGCACGACCTCACCACAGCACGACCACACCCCAGCACGATCACGCCCCAGCACGACCACGCCCCAGCACGACCACTCCCCAGCACGACCACCTCCCAGCACGACCACCCCCCCAGCACGACCACCCCCAGCACCCACGCACGACCACACGCACGACCACACGCACACCCCAGCACGACCCCACCCCAGCACGACACACCCCAGAACGACCACACCCCAGCACGACCCCACCCAAGCACGACCCCACCCCAGCACGACCACACCCCAGCACGACCACACCCCAGCAGGACCCCACCCCAGCACGACCCCACCCCAGCACGGCCCCACCCCAGCAAGACCACACCCCAGCACGACCACACTCCAGCACGACCTCACCACAGCACGACCACTCCCCAGCACGATCACGCCCCAGCACGACCACGCCCCAGCACGACCACTCCCCAGCACGACCACCCCCAGCACGACCACCCCCCCAGCACGACCACCCCCCAGCACGACCACCCCCCACCACAGCACGACCACACCCCAGCACGACCACACCCCAGCACGACCACGCCCCAGCACGACCATGCCCCAGCACGATCACGCCCCAGCACGACCACCCCCCAGCACGACCACCCCCCCAGCACGACCACACCCCAGCACGACCACACCCCAGCACGACCACACCCAGTCGCACCCCCGTGGAATGTTTCGTGGGGTGTCTCGTGGAATGTTTCGTGGGGTGTCTCGTGGAATGTTTCGTGGGGTGTCTCGTGGAATGTTTCGCGGGGTGTCTCGTGGAACGTTTCGCGAGGTGTCTCGTGGAATGTTTCGCGAGGTGTCTCGTGGGATGTTTCGCGGGGTGTCTCGTGGGATGTTTTGTGAGATGTCGCCCAGTTGGGTATCGTGAAAACGTGACCATGCTGCGCATGTCTATATCCCTTTCCGGGTTCGTGGGTCCATCATGTTGTTCATAAAGCGCTTGTAAATAAAATGTAATACATTTGAATATTCAGATTTTTTGTTTTATCCTCCTTCCCTCTTCTCTTTATCCTTTTCATATATTATTCTACTTTTCTTTTTAAATATATATTCTCTCTTTAAGTTCTTCCTTTCTTTTTCTTTATGATGTATCTCTCTTTCTCTCTCTCTCTCTCGTTCTCTCTCTCTCTCTCTCCATGCCCCCCCCCTCTGAACTTTTTTATCCCTGGGGTTGATTATCCATGGAAAATGAAGCACATGAGCTACCCTACACGAGCACTTAAACATTTTAATTTGCATAAAGCGCTTGCAAATGAAATCTAATACCTTTGAACTTGAGATTTGTCCTTCTCTTTCTCCTCCTCCTCTGTTTTCTTTTCTTTTTGATTTTGTTTCCTTTTTCTGTTTCAGTTCTTATTGTTTTTATTTTTGTTTGTGTATATCGTTTTCTCCATTCCTCCGCCCGCCTGAACTTTATTATCGCCGCGGTTGATTATCCAGGGACACCGAGGCGGATGAGCTATTCCGAGGATGTCTCAAGCGAAACAAGCATATACTCGAGGATGTCTCAAGCGAAACAAGCATATACTGAAGGATGTCTCAAGCGAAACGATACGTTTCTTGAGCGAAATAAGCAATAGTTTGACGATGTCTCAAGCGAAATAAGCAACAGTTTGTGAATGTCGCAAGCGAAACAAGGGATTTGTCGTGGATGTCTCCAGCGAGATAAGCCATTGTTGAGGATATTTCTATGAAGACTAAACGCCAAGGATGTCTCAAAACGTGCTCGGCTTGGTCTCCTCTTGATCATCTCTTACTTCGAGATTATGCTGAGGTCTGGTGGGCTACTTTGATTATCTCCCCCTGAACCCCGAACTTTATTATCCCCTAGTGTTTATTCTCGAAGGTATTCGGTTACTCTCAAAAGAGCGGTGGACCAGCGCCCTGCGGGACAAAAAGATCGATTCCGACCACATTTGCAAGTGTTTTTGAGATTGTGATTCGACCTTGGCTTGGGGGGGGGAGGAGGAGGAGGAGGAGGAGGAGGAGGAGGAGGAGGAGGAGGAGGAGGAGGAGGAGGAGGAGGAGGAGGAGGAGGAGCAGGCCCCACGATGGTAGCCGTGTTCATTTTGGCTCAGTCTGCCCTCCCTCGGCTCAGCTGCCAGTGAGAGCCCCCCCCCGGCCCGGAGAGCAATCCGCCCTGCCATGGCTCTCCTCGCGCGCGCCGCCGCCCTCGTCTCCCTGCTCGGCCTCGCCGCGGCCGAATACGTCTCGGTCTCCAACTGCCGGGTCCAGCACTGGTGCGGCATGGACAACGGTGCAGGCTGCGACGAAGATACCTGCCTGGGCCTGCTCCAGACGGCGATCTCCGAGCTCCAGGGCAGCTTCGGCTCCAACAACCCGGACGCCGACTTCCCCGAAGGCCAGACGTTGTGCAGCCTGGCCGTCCAGACGATCGCCACCAAGTGCGATGTCTGCTCGACCTGTGACGACTCCCTGGCGCAAGACCCGACCGCGACTGTGAGGCTGGTTGATGCGACCGTGCCCGCGACGTCGCCGAAGTCCCGGGCCATGAGGGGCAAATTTTCCTTCACCGCTATCCTAAGTAGGGCGGGGAAGAAGGGAGGATGGGGGACGTCTTCCTCCTCCTCCTGCTGCTCCTCCTCCTCCTCCTCCGCCTCCTCCTCCTCCTCCTCCTCCTCCTCCTCCTCCTCCTCCTCCTCCTCCTCCTCCTCCTCCTCCCCCTCCCCCTCCTCCTCCTCCCTCTCCTAGCTATGGTAGTGGTGGGGGAATGTCCGCCCATCAGGCAAGCCTGCCCGTCGCCGCCTCCGCCTGCGCCCTCCTGGCGTCCGCGTGCGCGGTGCTGGCGGTCGCCTTCCGCCGCGGCAGGGCGGCGGCGACCGCGGGCGAGGTCCGCTTGGTGCTCTCGGCCGAGCCGCGGGAGGCCCCGGGAGCGCCTCTGGCCGACGAGGGCGCGGCGGGCACGTCGGAGTGAGGCGCCACGGGGCGCAGGCGCGCGCCCAAAGGCGGCGCGGGCGCCGGCGGCGCGACCGCGTCGGCGCGCAGGGGGAGGAGAAGGCGGGAGGAGGAGGAGGAGGAGGAGGAGGAGGCGGGAGGAGGAGGAGGAGGCAGGAGGAGGAGGAGGAGGAGGTGGAGGGAGGAGGAGAGGAGGAGGAGGAGGAGGAGGAGGAGGAGGAGAGGGAGAAGATAAAACTTTGGAGAGGTCTGTGACACACCAGCGATCTCTCGCCGAACTCTTGCGTGAAAGTTGAAGGGGTACGTTGTCCTGACCGCGTGGGCGGTGGGGGGAGCTGTCAGCCAGCTGTAGTTCTGAGGAGCCGACAGCCGAGTGGAACCCGCTGCCTCGGTAATCTTTCAACGAGTTGTTGTGTTTCCTCGGCACAAAGCTGGGAGCCCCAGGGCTTCTTTTCGATCTCCGCCCCGATTCGCGCTTGGGCCACAGGGACCGCCAAGCGGTCCCGGCCCGGCGCCCCCTGGCGGAGCACGGCGGATGGAGCCTCAGTTTTTGTATTGTCATTGCGCGCGGCGGTCAAAGGACCTGCGAGGCGACTTTTTGCGCCAGGGCGCGTGCGCAATCAAGGCCGCGCCAGGGCTGGGCACGTGCGCGTGTAGTTAGGCGAGTGGACAATGAGACGGGCAATTTGCGACCGCAGCAGCCCGCGATCGACCACGATCCGTGCGGGTCGAAGAAAAACGACCTCAGGAGGGGCAAATTGGCACAGACACAAATGCGGCATGGACAAATGTGATGTAGGGGATCTTGTCATGCGTGCCCACTTGTGGGACGTGTGTGTGCTCCTCGTTCTCTTGACAAAGCTGCAAAAGCAGCAACGTTCGGATCTCCGCGCGGATTTCTTGGAACGGCGCTCTGGCCCCCTTGGCGGCGCCTCCGGCGCCGCCCCTGGCGCGCTCCGCTCGCAAGGCAAGGGCCCAGGATGTCCGAGGATGCCCGGACCGGCCTCCTGAGCACAGCTCACGAGGCCCAGGAGGCCCCAGGGGCTCCAGAATGAAGCGAAGAGCCGTGGGCACCGTTAGCAACCCCCGCCCCCAGACCACGAACCAACCACGGCGGAGGTCTTTGGCCATGTTCGGCCTCTGGAGGCCCTGACCCTGCCCCAGGACCGTCAACCAGCTGCCGATCTCGCAGAAGCCCGCCCGATTCCTCTGCATCCCGTGGAGTCTCGGGGCCGATCCGGCTCGAACCCAGGCTCCTGGCGGCCCCGGCCTGGCTCGCGGGCCCTGCCGTCGGCCTCGGGGGGCCTCTCCTCGCTCCCACGAGCACCTCCCAGAGGTTGCACTTCCCCCCCCCCCCCCCCGCCCCCGAGAGGACTGGATGGACGAGGACGACCTCGAGGACGCGGAGGCCTGGGACGTCGAGTGGGGCGGCGGACGCAGGTCGGACGGGCCGGGACGAGGGTGAATCCGTTGCAGGGCGTTCTGGAACGCTCTCAGTCAGAGCGTGAATTACCTCCCCCGCTTTCGCTTCCAGGCAAAACCAAGCCATACCACGCGCCTCCTCGTCAAGCGTCCTGACCAGTACAGGCCGCAATTTGGCATTGTTTGGTATCTCTTGGAAGCGAGGGTGGTCAAAAGCGAGGTAGGTTTGTTTGCCCCCTACTCAGAGCGTTCCGGAACGGCTCTGAGAGGGCCGCGGCGCCCGAGACTTCCTCCAGAGCCGCCGGATCTCGGAGATGTTCGACTTGGGGGGACAAGCAGGCACGGATCCTGGACCTCCCCTGGGGTGCGTTTTGGCCAGGGTTTCGAGGCGAACGGGCCTCCCAGGAGGCCCCAAAAGCGGAAACGGGCGAAGGGTAGCGGAATGGGTGCCTTTCCCTCTGGGATTTATCTTCACCCTATGTTATCTTCGTCCTGGCTTCGTCTTAGCAGGGGGGAGGCACGCTGGGAGGGGTGGGCGCCGTGGGACGACGAGGATCGCGGCCGCCGCGGGGGGCAGCAACGCGGCGGCCGAGAGCGGCGGCAGGGCGGCGGCCGGGAGGACAGCCTGGAGACGCAGCTGAAGGTTGCGCAGGACGTGGTAGGAGGAACGGGTCGCCATGGTGTCTCCTGGTGCAGGCCCTCGGTGGCCACCTCCGATCCCCACCTCGGGCCGGGTCGCGGCCTTTGTTGCCGGGAGTTCCGGGCCCATCGTCTCCTCGGTGTGCCTCGCGATGTGCTTGGGATCTCGTCAGGGTTGTCTTGCTGATCTTGCATGGTGTGGTCTTGCTGCATGTGGCAGTCCGCGCTGCTGACGCTACGGGCCTGATCGGCCCGACAGCAAGTCGAAACAATTCGAGGTCCCCAAGGCTTTTTGAGGAGCGTTTTCTGGACTTTCACTTTCCAGTTTTCGTGGGATGCTTACAGCGGGATCTTCCGTCAAATATCAGATTGGGTCTCGTCATGTTATGATGGTCCCGCCAGGCTAACCCCCGAGCCCCCCGGCTTTCGAGTCTCACGTCTCCCCGACTTCGATCGGACGGGCCTAGAATCTCCAAGTTTTCCGGAGCGCTCTGGAACGGCCGCGGCGCCCGATACATCCTCCAAACCCGCCCGTTTTCACGGATTTCCTATTTATATCAGTCTGATGTTGTCGCGATTCTGCCCTCGTCGCCATGGGCTAAACGGGTCTTGAAGAAAAAGGGGTCCTGAGGGTTTTTGCCCTTTTCGGGTTCTCGGGGCCCTCACCGGGCCCTGGGGCTGTCAGAAATCAATTCAGGATGAAAGGATCCAGACGCTTCGCGTAACCCCACCAGCTTTCCGTAGCCTCTGGCTCAAGCCTTAGCGCAAGCCTATGGGTTCGAACACGCCCCTGGCTCAGGTGCGCGCCCCGGCCCGTGGGATGGAGGTCACCGTGACGCGGCGGCGGCACCGGCGAACACCGGCCGCCTGGCAGCAGCGGCGAGCACGTGCCGCGGCGCCCCTGGCCCGTCACCGTATGGCGCCAGCCCGGCGGGTTTCCTGCCGCGCTGATTGGCGTCGCGGCGGCCGTCGGCCCCACGTTGCACGTCGTGGAGGAAACCGAGGATCGGGCAGTTGATCGCGCTAATCGTGACCACCCTGGGGAAGCGGTGTTCCGCCGTCACAGACACGATGCGACGGAGGCCGTGGCCATCCAGATGGAACGATCGAGAGCCGCGCACCAGGAAAAAATCACGACCAGAGCCGTTGACCCCGTTTTCCTGCGCCCATTCGAGCCGCATCGACCCGATGACACCCCCATCCTCGCCGCTTATTTCCGATGTATTGGCGGCGATCAGCCGCCAGCCTGGGGAAGACCGCTTACCCGGCACAGTCGCGATGATTGGTCTCGAAGCCAGCCACGAGCCCCCCCGCTCCTCTGCCATTGCGGCAGTCAGACGCCCGCTTAGGGAGGCGCCTGGGGGCGCGTCGCGCCAACTCAGTGCGTTCGCGACGATATGTCGCGCGCCGGGGAAGACGACGATACGAATGGTGCGCCAGGTCTCCCCTGTCGCGTCCTTGGGGAGGCGCCTGATATCACCCCCACCGCCCCACTCGATCCTGCTCAGGCCTGGGGGATACACGGCGGCGCAGAAGCGCGTTGCAACAGCGACCGCGGCCGCGCGTCCCCGACCGACCATGGCCTCGGCAACCCTTCAATTAGGATCGTGACTCCTGGGGGCCGAGCCGAGGCTCGGGACGTGCCGCGCGACAGAGCAACGCAGGGGGCCGACCACAGACGCGCCCCTGAACTTCTCGACGCCCTCCGACGTCGACCAGGAGCGGGCCGCCGCCGCGCCCGTCGGCGGACGCAGTGACGACGAGGAGGACCTGTGGCAGGATTTGATAGCTGGATCACGGGAGCGAACACAAGGAGAACCCGCCCCGAGAGCCCCCGCCCCCGAAGCCGGCGAGGGGCCGCGAGGAGAAACTCGGTCGCAGGGGGATAGCCGCCATGTTTCGGGGGACGGCAGAATGGGATTGGATCGGCTCGCCCCCGATCGAACAGATCCGCGTCGCGACCGAATTCGGGATCGGGGCGGCCCCCCAGCCCGCCCGCCCCCCCGGATAGCCGCGAAACTCTTTCTTTCTTATGCGTTTGCGGCGATCAGCCGCCCACCTAGGGGAGAGCCGATGATCGCTTCGCGCCATGACAACGCATTTGCGGCGATCAGTCGCACGCCTGGGGTTGAAGAGGAGAGAGGCGGCGCCTTGCCCCTCGCTCGCGCCGCGCCCGGGGGGGCAATTGACGTCGGCATCGCCCCCGCCGCCCCCCGTCGACCCGGTCCGAGCCCGGGGGGGGGCGCGACGGCGATGCGGCGCAAGGGAATGGCGACGAAGACCGCGCCTCAACGACTGGCCCCGACGCTGGCGCTCCGCCCGCGCCCACTTTCCCCGCCGACGCCCACGCCGCTCCTGTCGAGATCTCGCCACCCGGGGGCCATGCAGGGGCGGGGGGCGCGCGACGCGGCAGGGCATTCCCAGACGACGCCCGACGACGCCTCTCCGAGCCGGGGTCGCTCTCGGACGACGACCAAGGACGGGCAGCCGCCGCGCCCGACGGCGGGCGCAGCGATGGCGAAGACGACGCGGGGCGGGAAACCGAGGCTGGGAATCGGGGCCGACGCGGGGCGGGGGGCATGGGGGCAGCGCAGGCGTTGGAACAGAAGCTAAGGGGGCCCGACGAGCAGGAACAGGCGACCACCCACCCGCGCACTTCTAGTGACCCGTCAGCGCGCGGCCGCGACGCGCGGACGGATGCGCCCCCCCCTGACACCGCCCCCCCCCTGCAGCAGCGCGAGCCCCAGCGCCAGGGAAGGGCGGCGCGACGGCCAGCGCGCGACGACGGCGCGTCTACCTGATAGCGGCTGGACACCAGGCCTGGCCCCGAGAACTGGCGACCCCCAGCCTCCTCGCCGCCCGCGGGATGGAACATGGGCGTTCAGCAACGTCGACAGCTTGGCTGGGTCTGACAGGCGGCAGACGACCGACGACGCCGACGCATAGGCCGACGGCGCCGACGCCGACGCCGACGCCGACGACCCGGGGACAGAGCAGGAGCGACCACCCACCCGCGCACCCTCTCGACTGGCCCCGCTGCCGGCGGCGGAGCCGCGCACGAAACATTCGACTTGCCCCCCAGAGGCTGCGGCGCGGGGCAGAGCCAGGCGCCGCCGCGCGGAGGCGTCTCGCCGGCTGCGTCCGTCGGCAGGCGTCCAGAGGCTATTTTGCGGGCGCCGCGCCCCCCGGTCGCGGCCCCCGCCTTCTGGCGCCGATAGCGTCAGCGGAGGGGGTCCGGCAGCGCGCATCCAACGCTGGTGCGGCCATGCTTTCGGGCGCGGGGGGCCGCTTCCAAATCTTTCGTCGCGACGCGGGGGCCGCGGCACCTCGGCGGGGGCGCGGCGGAGGCCGACGGGCGAAGCGACAGCCGGCTACGCGGCGACCAGTGGCCCAGGCAGCCGCCCCTGCCGCGACAGCCGCTGAGTTGTTCGGCATCGACGTCGTCGAACATTCCTCCCGAGCAGGCAGGGCGCACTGCCGCCGCGCCCTGCCCCCTCGAGGTCTTCCAGCCGCCGCTTCCTCGCTGCCCGCGCGCGGTGGCGGCGCCAGCCGGGGCATGCCTCAGCCGAGCATTTGCAGCGGTCAGCTGCCGGCCCATCCCGGGGCATGACTCCGCCAAGGTTTTCAGGGCACTTGCAGCGATCAGCCGCCGGGCCCCCCCCTCGCGGTCTACGCGCGCGGTGCCCAGGCACTTCGAACGCATCGGCCCGACGGGGGCCGCCCAGCAGGCCAGTTGCGCAGCGCGCGTCCGCCCCGCGGGCAGCCCGACACGAGCTGCCCCCGGTTGCGACGCCGCCCCTTGCCGGCGAGAGGTGGCCCCTCTCCCTGCTCAGCACGCGCAGTCAGTCTGCTCGCACTCACCCCCGCCCCAGGGCCCCCCGACCCGCCCGCTGGAGGGCGCGGGGCGGCCGCGTCCCGGCCCACCCCGCTTCCTCGCACAGCACCTCTCCGCCGCGTTGTCACAGCCCGACTACGCGTTCTACTACCTGGGGACCTGGAGGCCGCTCGTCTCCCCGGCGTCCGCCTGGCGCGACCTCGCGCGCCCCTCGCCTGTCCGTCGGTGTTGTTCACGCTGCTCCCAGGGGTTTGCCCGGTCGCTTCTTGATGTCTGTTTTGCCGAGGTGTTCATGGACGTCGAGCTCGACATGCGTACCTGGGAAATTCAACGACTGTTTATCTCGTCCTGTATGTCACCGCCATTATGGGTAAGTGTGGCGTTCTCTCAGTGGTCGTCATTGGGGTCGCCTTCCAATGACCTGCACCCTGTTCGGCATCTGCATGGACGCGTTCCTGGTGCCGTGCCGTGATGCCGCCAGCGCCATTTTGGTTGCCCTGTGCTCCATCCCGCTCTGTGCGTGGCGCTGCTTACCGTTCTGTTTTTACTGCGAATTGTGGCACGGCCTGCCCCTGCTTGCACGGCGTTCGACTCGTTTCGCGCGCCCGCGTACCAAAAAGTAACCCCGCCAGACCATCCAGACACGATGTTCAGAGGATGCGTCGATTAGGGAAGTGAGCATCACGCAGATGAAGGGTCCCTCTTGGAGCGCTTTTGGGACACTCTTGGGCGCTCTTGGGGCCGTCGTGGGGCTCTCTTGGGCCTCCCTTGCGTTTTGGCCGCCTCTTGGCGGTCCCGGGCGCCTCTCGGCCTCTTGGGGCCCCTGGGGTCTTTGGGGGGCCTGTTGGAGGCCTCTTGGGCGCCAGTTGGGGCCTCCTGTGCGTTTCTTGGGGCCCTCTTTGGGGCGGCCCCGGGAGCCTTAGGGGTGCTTCGGGGGCAATCTTGGAGGACATCGATTTAACAAAAGGGGAGCATTAATTGGCGCTGCCTCTCGGGAGACCCAGAAGTCTCGGGGCGCTTTGGGGGCGTTTTTGGAGCGTTCTTGGGCGTTTTTGGGGGCGCCTTGGGGTTCGTTCGAGCCTCTCTTGGACCGTTTTCGGCCCATCTTGGAGCCATTCTACGCAGCAGCCTCAGATGGCTATCGGAAGCGAAAAAGGCGAGAAACCAAAAAACATCGATGT